CTAAGCCCCGTCTTGTGGAGAATCGGAAAGGAGACAAAGAGGAGGGTACACAGAAGTGGAAACACACGGGAACAAAAGCGACAGGCAGAAGCCACAAGGCAGAAGCTTTGGAGAAGCCGGGAAGCAGGAAGAAGTTATCCCGTAGTGTCAGCATGCAAAGCAGAGAGGGCTGTCAGGCAGAGAAGGGTGGGGCAATGGATTAAGGAGCAGGGAACATGTGGAATCCAGGGGTACCTGCCGACCCTAAGAAGGTCCGGCATGACTGTCAGGACAAAGTTCTTATCCTTTGTGGCTTCACTGTCAGCAGCTAAAAGGGTTTCTTGTCTTTCTTACTTGCTAATGGATGCCTAAAATAGTCTACAAACTGAAGCGATGTGAGTGCATCTCTTTCCCTTATAAACTTAAAAAAATCTAATCAACATGGCCTAACCAGTGGACAACAGGACTTTCCCTCCATGTTCTAAGGCTATGCTCGAAGTTGTACTCTTCCTTGAATGTTTTCTGCTGAACAAATTATGTAGGCCAGACAAATGGGCTACCAGATGTCACAGGGCTAAAGACACAGGCTTGTGCATGTCTAAACAGGACTAAGACTTGAAGAGAATCTGGTTCACTGAATTACTACAGTAAAGATCTGTCAAGGAGCCACAGGAAAGGGAGAAAGTGGAGGGATACACGTTAGACAGAGGATCAGAGAGGTTATGTAGCTCAGTGACAGAGACTGGTCTGAGATCAGGGAAAAAGTAACAGGAGTACTATTGATTTTAAAATATTTGCTTAGAGATTGAATATGCTTGAAAGGAAAGACCTAGTTAAGGTGTTGTAGGGGACATTTTAGTAACTTGGTAGCAAGATAAACAAAGCAGGTTGTTGCCTTCTGGGTGAGATTTAAGAAACAATCTGAGGAAGGTTAAGAAGGAGATAGATGTGGCTGGTGATTGTGGTCAGAGGAGAAAGGACAAGATTTGAAGCCAATACCAGAGCTCAAAACCCTTCAAGGCAAGAAATTTGGGGTCGAAGGGACAGAATGGAGGAGAAAGAAAGGACAAAATTCTGCCTGCTTTGACCTAGATGTGGTCCATAAATAAATTACCATACTGACTTTTTAATAGTTTTGTTAAGTGGCCACCTTAGGGCACTCTGTCCTATGAGCCCAGGAATCTTAATGGTTCCCCCTATCAAGCAAATTATTTACCCTCAATTTCCTGAAGGATAAATTTAGGTGATGCCTTAAGGAAGGGTACTCATGAAAGATAGGGGCCCACTGCTATCACGCCTCCTATCTTTGTTCTTGAACTAGATTAATGAATGAGCAAGTATGACCTCAATTCGAATCCCTGGGTAACTGCAAGGATTAAATACAAAAACCTCATTTAAATCTATTTAGCATTTAGTAGAGAGCCAATAAATATTAATTCCCTTCCAAATATACATACACACTAACATACAAATTTGCCACATTTGCCAGGAACAAAAGAAGGAACACAAGGAGGAATTACACCAACCCTTTACCTCTCTAAAGGGGGCAGAAGTTTCAAAACGAATATAGAACTGTGTCTGCTAAAATTATTCCAGAGAGCAATTTATGATGCTCCTCTCGTGGCCTGTCACTGCTTGTACATAACAGCCAGAGGGAATAAAACAAAACCAGCTGGGAAATAAAGATGAAAGCAAAACTGTACCAGCAGGGAGAGACACACAACCCCCTGAGAATCCAGGCCATGTCAGCAAAGATAATTTGCACAAGGTCACCTGCTTGGAATTCATTTTCCCAGAGAGATCATTAGACTCCTGTCCATTGCAGTCTTTCTCTATTGGAGTCAAAGAGGGGAATGAAATACATGGTCCCCAGTTTCCAGGGTTCTACACTCGTGTTCTATTTATGTAATAAAACAGAGCCACACACAAAAGCAGGCATTACCATGAAGGCTAACAGTGGAATTTTAAATGTCTGACAACAAAGAAATTTCGCTTCCCCTTGCAAATGGAGCAGGTTGAGATTTCCCCACGCCCGAGTCCAATACAGCAAGTTACGTGGCCTCATGCTGCCCTCTAGTGTCGTTTTAAAGTAACGTCAGAAAGAAAAAAGGTTCTAAAATAAAAGAAAAACTAGTTTTATACAAAAATTAAAGAGGGAGTTAAATTTGGCCCTGACATGGATCTTGTATTATTTCAGGCCTCTGTAACACATGGCATCCAGATCAGTGAATGCTCTTTAAAAATACAGACACTTGATCTCTGCACATCCCTGCCCAGTGATTACTGCTTCGAGTGGTCCAAGGTGGGGTCCAGGAACATGCATTTCACCAACATGCCACATGGTTCTGACAGTTAAGCTGGTGACGTCACTTTGAGAAGAACCAAATATGGTCACAGGGATTATGAACAGGGCGTAGATTAAATCTGATAATTTTCCTTTAATTCTTCAAGGGTTTACTTCATTGACAAAAACAGGTCAATTGTAATTTATCCCACAGGGACAGCAGCTCAACCTAGCATGTGACTAGCATGTAAAGGAAACACTGTGGTTCAAGTCCGAGTGAGGAGTTTCCGTAGTTCTGCTGTGTAGATAAGCCCCGCCCCCAAATTCCAGCCGGCATCTAGGTGGAAAGGAAATGAATGCCTAGTTGTTCTCACTCTTCCTTCAGACATCCCTTAAACATACACCCTCCAAAGTCTCCCTGGTGCTCTCCCAGAGTTTCATAGCATCCTGTGCTCCTCTGTCCTGTATATGCTCCCCCAATGCCAGCGTTTTCTTTGAGACAGAAGGCTTTTCATAACAGGAACCCTGCCATCCTCCTCTTCCCAGAGTCAGTGCTCGGTCAGCACACAACTATCATCTGGTCAGTGGCTATAGCTACCCAAATGAGAGTGCTGCCCTGTACCATAGGAGAGGCCAGGCCCCGGAGCATGTGCTCTTCCCAAGATCCCCACATGACAACTGGCCTCAGGGGGCTGTTGTTGCTACTGGATCACACACCCCATTTGTAGGCCTTGGCCTAATTTTAGGAACATGCTCTCACTTTTTAGCATGGTTTGATAAGTCAGTGAACATTTGGAAACTTCTCAAAATTATTACATTCAATTTAAATTGTGGTTGATTTTTTAAAAGTCACATAAATATACCCAGAGTTCAATACCCTATGTCATCATATTATATAATATGCTATTTTCAATTCATAGTCTTAGTAGGTTTGGGGTTTTGGCAGGGAAGAGGGGTATGGGCAAAGCCTGTCTTACATTCAATGTTTTAATATAAACCAGGTCTAGGACCTCCTCAGATGTCTAAGAACCCTCATCTGAAAGAATCCTAGACCTCAATCTCCTATTACCCTCACTTCTAACTTTTAATGAACATTAAGCAAATACTTTCCTCTCAGGAGCTACTGCCCTGGGTATCCAGAGACGCAGTATACTGCCTGGCACAGCTTCTCCGGGCCTTCCTGGTGAAGGGCTGTGCATGCCACAGACCCCAACTCATTGCAAACAGCCTCTTTTCTGGCCATTTTTGTCTCCAGCCTACAATCCATGGTTTCTGGGGAAGCTCACGTACGCTTACTGAGGTAACAACTCCATGAACAGGGCGCTATTCTGCTTTAGCTTTCCTGGCTTGGCCAACACACTGAACTTTACAATCTCTCGCTTTCCCTTGACAATCACCCTCTGAGTCTGCGGTGCAAGAACAGGGGCGCCCACAAAATAGAGACCAGAGAGCACTCCACGCGCTTCAGTCAGAGAGAAGAAAGAGGTCTGTTAAAAGCACTTCCTTTGAATTTCATTTTATTTTCTGAGCTAAGCTATTAGATTTGAGGGCACAAATAAGATCTCTTTGAAGTTAACCAGAAGCCCACTGTGAAAGAAAGGAGGCGGCCATTATCACGCATTTTATGTGTTGGACAAATAGAGTCCCAGGATTGTACATATATTCTGTAATTACAGAAAATGAAACACTTTTATTTCTCCTCTCACCTTACTTAGAAATAGCATTTTTCTCCTGCAAGCATTCTGTTGAATTTTCTCCTTCCAGTTCCCTAACTCCCCAGTGTATTTACTTTTTCAATCAAAGGGAAAGATCCCATCAATAAAAGAAGCTGCTCTCTCCAAAGCAAAATTATGCCTGCAATGCATCTACAGGGCTTTGCAATGCGTCAAGATAGAGCAGAAGAGCCGATGCAGCGGGGGTTTACCTTTCTCTCTAGTAGTTGTTTTCTCTGGGTAAGTCATTCAAACTTCAGATTTCCTACACTGAGAATGACACAGTAATAGTACCTTCTTCAATGCCTGTTGCCGTGTTAAATGAGATGGGATATGTGGACACATTCTTAGTGAATCACAAAAGCCCATTCAACAGAAACTTGTTATTTCCCCTATTATGGACTTGTTTTCTTAGCATACTGTCTGGTGCATGCAAGAAATCAAGCATCAATAAGGATGGGAAGCATTTCTAAAGACTTTCTTAGCAGCTGGTGAAGGAAGCATTTTCATAGCTGGGTGTGTGTTGGGGAGGTGGGATGAGGGTAGAATTCACTGTTGGAGACAGAAGCCAGGCTCAGAGCCCTGCTGGTCAGAGGTCTGTACGGATCTAGGAAACCTCACCAAAGAAAGAAAATTATAATAATATGCTCTAGGAGAATCTCCCGGTGTCTTGTTACCTTGACTCCAAGTTGATTGAAAACTGTTGGGACCAAAGAAATTTGCAAATACCTACTTTTACTTATAATATCAAGACTAATTATACATTTTTTTCTGACTCTTTAAATTTTAATCACACATGCTTTCTTAGGTGTTGCATTTTTTGAGCTGCTATTAAAAATACATAGGTTCCTACCACATTAAAGGGGGACTAGAAGCTTGTGTGTTGTATTATTAATTACATCTGAAAATCAAATTCCGGTCAGTCTTTGTGCAAAGTACAGACACACCCGTAGGCAGAGGATTTTCCAGGGCATGGCAGACCCTGCAGGGCGGGGCTGGCTCCTCCAAAAGTAGCTTGTACTTACTCTTGAGGTCTAGGTTCCTGGCTCCAGCAGTGATCTGCGTAGTGATCTTTGTGTCAATCTTTACAGTGTGGAGATTGCTGGTGTCCCTTGATATCATCACATTGTGCCACTGATTGTCATTGAGAGGTTTATTTGAGCTCCCTTTGATGAGGTTAGCACCATTTCCCAAATCAAACACGTAGTGTAAGTACCTGGGAGAAGAATGAAAGACGGGAAAGCTCCATCACTGCAGAAATTGTTGAGGAAGTCAAAGCAGATGTTACAAATGGTGATTTTATTTCCCCCGTCAGGAAGTTCTATACTGACTAGAAGTCATCCGAGTGAGTGACGCAGAGCTCAGCTAATAAGACGGTAAGAAACACTCTACCTATAGGAAACGGCGAATGTAATTTTAAAAATCACAATGAAAATTGCTCTTTATGACTTTGGAAGGCAATGTCTTTCCATATGCTTTTTCTATTTCCACCATTCCTTCCATCCTTGCTATCCAGGCTGAGATGGTTATTCTTCACATGCTTCCTGCACCTTCCCACTTAAAACTCTGTATAGAGATGTATATTCATCCTTCAAGACTGCGCTCAAAAATCCACTCTCCACCCTACAGGTTAATCTAATTTCCTTAAAGACTCTCCTGAGCCTTGGCAGATGATCATTTCAGAAAACCTCTCATAGGGCTTTTCTGTATATTCGTGTGCACCTGTAACCCTCAGGGTTCTATGTGGGCATGGCCCAGAGTCCCTGGAAATCTGAGATATGCACAGGGGCACCAAGGGACAGACATGCAGAGCAGTGCCTGGCACCTTATCTGGCCCTTTGTCAACACACAATAGTATCTGCTGATAAATGCTCAAATCAATTAAAATGTGTCAAATTTTCCTCATAGTTTCAAGGAAATTTCATGTAAATATTTCTTTCTAAATTCTTCAAGGAAATCTAACACAAAATTGAGCTTTAGTTAAATGGTGTTTTGGGAAATTTTAAGTTAATACGAGGACTTGAATTAGCTATTTAATTTAGCACAGACTACCCTCCTACAAACTCCTAGAAATTCTTCTGTGGAATTTCATAGTCATGAAATGCACATTTTAAAGGGCAAGATTCAAGAAAAGCCTCCTATAAATTAGAACTCAATGTTATTTGTATCTCTTATATAGAAATGTTGGTACAAAAGACGATATTAAATCCATATTAGCTTAAGATACCCAAGAATTGATTTAAACAAATCAATCCCCACCATCTTCCAAGCCAATACAGTGTGTTCATTTTATATGTTTAGAAATTGAGCTCCATTTTCCCAAAGTTTTATTTATCTGTCATTGAACTGACATATACTCACCCTTTAACTAATTCAACCACAATGAAATCATTCCCATCTCCACTGTTATACAGAATTAGTCCATCTAGGGATGTTGTCTTGAACTGAAAAAAGAGATGCATAGAAGTGTAGGCTTGCAGTGTAGCTAAGGCAACATAGCTCGATTTGGTCTTGAAGGTGACAGGGTCTGCTATGATGTTCCTGAAGCCAAATCTGGCATTGAGCTCACAGTAATCTATGTCGCCATTTTTACACAGGTCAATATATGCCATTCCGTTAAATGTCAGGCTCTGCAGGTGTCCAATGAAGTTGGAGGGGACAGAAGAAAGATACCGCCGTTCTGTGATGATGCCAGTCTCTATGTTATGGAACTCCAGCCTCGTGTGGTCACCCGCCATTTGACCTAAAAGAGAAGAGAATGTATTGTCATTTCCTATACCTTTAAGGCACGTCGACGTTCGACTTTCACAGCAACCTTTCATTTTAAAACGCACAAAGTTAAATATCTTCCTGAGACATGGTTGTGCACAGTAAGAACATCTAGGGAATGTTCAAGGGTAAAATATGGCTGGTTCATAAAATAAAACATCTGTATGTCAGGTTTTAATCCTTGTCCAAATTTTAGTCTGAACAAAAATCATACTCATTAACAAAAAGTTACAGCATTTTTTTAATAAAATAAAAAATAAAGGAAGGAGGGAGATTGGGAATGAAGTGAAGAGAAGGTAAACTAGGGAGGAACAGAGGGAGAGATGGATGGATGGATGGTTGGGGCAATGAGTGCTCTAAAGCACAGAGCAAAGAAATGCCTCCCAGCTTCATGGTCAGCGAACGTTTTATGTACATATATAAATGTTCTTCTAGGAAAAAACATTGTGACTGTCTATTTCCCTGTATCCCATAGAAACAGAGGAGTGTTGCAGCGCTTCCCCATTCTACCAATAATGAACCGTGAAAATGAGTTTGAAGTTAAATTTGCTACATGATGTCTGTATTCTTTGTTCACACTAGTCTCCCAACCATGTTGGAAATTCTCTTGATCTCTAGAACTATGCCATTTCTCCCCTCCATGCTTTGGATAACTAAATGGAGTACAATACACTAATTGAAGGCATGCCCAATTTTGATAATACCAGTAAAATTAGCCCACATTACCACAAGGCACAATCGTTTTTTAAATGTCCTCCAGGAAAGCTTACTGCAGATTTATTTAGCAACTGACTATCCATCTCCACCCTCATTCCTTTCCATCCCACCATACTTCTCTGTCATCCTCATCATAAGCCAACCTAGCCCCATCTTTACATCCAGAATGAGAATGGCACCTGCTTGCAAGGTTGAGAGTAAAACAAATGAAGATGTGAACTTGTTTTCTAAATGGTAACACACAACATTAATATAAGGCACTCTCATCAGTGCCAGACGTTTACCTCTAGCATTTTGCTCTTGCCTAATTAAACTGTCATTCACTTTCTTCTGCAACTCCAAGCCATCATTTACATTGCAGTCAAGTTTTGCCAGGTGCTACCTTCCCTGTCCAATTTGCCATACTGGAGAAATCACCAAGTTTACCCTCTCCCATCATCCATAATCTCCATGAAAATATTAATTAGAGCTAATCTCAACATCAACCCCTGAGAAAATGCACTAACCCTTCTTCCCAGATGCAATAAAGATAGAGCACCCACCTACATGGGTCCCCTCAACCAGCATGAGGAATTTCTATTTCTTTAGTTATGATAGTAAATTATTAGATAGTTTAAGAAAATGCCTGTAAGTAAAAATTTAGAAGTTATGCTTTTTGATGTGTAAGAAAAACTGTTAGTATACTTAGTTAATTGAATTTGATGATTATCAACTTATTGGTGTACAAAACTCTCCCTTGAGCTGTATTGTACATAATTTTCAAATACTCTTTACTAGACTGTGATCCTGCTAACAGCACCAGGGGCATCTCGGCATGTTCTCTTTTTAGCCCTTGGTTTGTTCTGATGCCCTCTCTGAAAACTTCTTTCAACAACAACAAAAAAATCACTGTAAGCAACTGGCCCTTTCTCCTCTCCCTCCATCCCTCCAGGATGCTTCCTTATTATCCATTCATTGCTGAAATATTCTTGATATTATGTCCTTAGCAATTCTGGCTTCTCATTTGACTTCATTTCCCTCTCCTTCTTCAGTTATTCTTATCCAATGACCTCAACTACTCTGCAGGAACCCCCCTCTTTGGTAGCAGATAAAATTAACCCTTAATAGTCTCCAAATAGAAAGCTCAGGGATACCAGCAACATTGAATTAACAAGTTATATATAATAAAGACTATGAAAAAGTTAAAAATCACTTCAGCTTTGATATTCCCTAGTGTTGATTTTTATCTTTTCTGCTGTATTAAAATAAGAGTCTTAACTGGTTGAACCCATTTCTCTTACAGGCTCTATTGATGAACCAATGAATTGTAAACTAGGAATCAGGAATCAAGTATTTCTTTTTTTTTTTTTCTTTGAGACAGAGCCTCAAGCTATCCCCCTGGGTAGAGTGCCATGGCTTCACTGCTCACAGCAACCTCCAACTCCTGGGCTTAAGCGAGTCTCCTGCCTCCACCTCCCAAGTAGCTGGAACCACAGGCGCCCGCCACAATGCCCGGCTATTTTTTGGTAGCAGCCATTATTGTTGTTTGGTGGGCCCAGGCTGGATTCGAACCCTCCACCTTAGGTGTATGTGGCTGGCGCCTTAGCTGTTTGAGCCACAGGCACCGAGCCAAATCAAGTATTTCTAATACTTGAAATTAAATATTGCCCTATATTGTCAGGTTCTTGGCAGCTAAGAAAGACCACTTTGTTTAGCAGGACTAAGATGTTCAGTGATGAAAATAATACTTGGTATCTTTTTTTTCTTTCTCCAAGGAATAGAGTATGTATTCAGAACATAATTAACAAAAAGGTAGTAAAATAGTGTCAAAGCAATTGCAGCCCAGTTACAAGGAAGAACATTATGATCTATTTAAGAGTATACTCTTTTCTTTTTTTAAAAAAAAAAATTTGCTCTTTTGTGCATTTTATTGTGAAGATAACTGTTTTTTTATTTCTTTTTTATCTTTTTACTTTATTAAATCATAACTGTGCACATTAATGCATTTATGGGGCACAATGTGCTGATTCCATATACAAGGTGAAATGCTAACCTAATGTACATAATGCAATGGTACATTTCTAAACTATTAAGAATAGAGTATAAATGTCTTTTTATTTTTTTTTCTGTAGAGACAGAGTCTCACTTTGTTTCCCTCGGTACACTGCTATGGCGTCACACAGCTCACAGCAACCTCCACCTCCTGGGCTAAAGCGATTCTCTTGCCTCAGCCTCCTGACTAGCTGGGACTACAGGTGCCTGACACAACGCCCGGCTATTTTTTGGTTGCAGTTCAGCTGGGGTGGGGCTAGAACCCGCCACCCTAGGTATATGGGGCTGGAGCCCGACTCACTGAGCCACAGGCACCGCCTAAGTCTAAATGTCTTACCACAACAAATAAGTAAGTGAGGAGATGGTTATGTTGATCAGTTAGATGTAAGCATTCCACAGTGTATTCTTTCTTAAATAGGTATACACAAATCACCCCAACGGTAATGGCAGATACACTTGCTTGGAGGGGTGAATTAGCACCTAACAGCCAATATCCCACAGACTAAGAAAACAAACTGACGTCTGCTTTTTATAAAATTATTTTCCCTTGTAATTTACTCCAGTGTGTAATTTTTATTAGTAGGTAGCACTTCTACTATTCTGTTTACATATGTTGATTCAGTAAGAAAAAATAAAAGAAAAAAACATTAAGGTTCCAATCATTTTTAAATGCACTGTTATTTAGAGAGATTTAGTGGAAAGGAAAAGTTGGAATTAGCAAAATGCCTCCGATCGAGGTATCTGGGGTATAGCAGACTGACAATAGTCTCCAACAAAAAACCACCAGAGCATATTTCTGAGATGGTGCCTTGGTGCAGAAATCTCAATATCTAAGGCAAATATTTTTAATAAAATAGACCCCAAGATTACCTATTTAGGTTCAGGTTATATTTCTGATGTGGAACAGAATAACCCCAAGCCTGCACCCCTTGTTAACTCACTTAAAGTAACTGAGTGTGTGGCAGATGCTTCAGGTGCTACGTAGATAATGAGATCATATCTACAGGAAAAGACCTGACAGCCTATTCATAAAGCTCACGGTCTACTGAGGGAAGACAGACTAAAAGAAGATAAGATATAACTAAATATATAATAATTAATCTCAAGGCCAAGTGCAGTGGCTCATGCCTGTAATCCTAGCACTCTAGGAGGCAGAGGTGGGCAAATCGCCTGAGCTCCTGAGCTCAAGACCAAGCTGAGCTAGAGCAAGATCCTGTCTCTAAAAATAGCCAGGCATTGTGGCAGGTGCCAGTACTCCCAGCTACTTGGGAGGCTGAGGCAAGAGGATCACTTGAGCCCAAGAATGTGAGGTAGCTGTGAGCTGTGATGCTAAGGTACTAGACAATGGAGTGAGATCCTGTCTTTAAATAAATAAAAAATAATTAATCTCAGAGAAATGCTATGATTTTGTCATATTTTTTGGTTGGTAAATGTGGAATGGGAGAGGGTTCCTGAATTTTATATTTAAGCTACATTTGAAGAATTAAAAGGAGAAAATGATACTAAGACCTGGGGAAGGGGTATCAAGAGGAGGATTCCAAGAAGGGGAGTTAGATGAACAAGGCTTTTTGCATGAGAAGGTGCTAGAGAGCATTGCTGGAGTGTGGTGAGTGAGAAAAGTTAGTGGCTCACGTGAGATTAGAAGGAACACCAAGGGCCAGATGCCTCACCCTGCCTTCTGATTACATAAGGAGCTACTGCAGGGTTTTCAGCAGGAGTTAGCCATGACTCAAAGGGGGTGTGTGTGTGTGTGTGTGCGTGTGTGTAATCCCTTTGCTGGTATAATAGATTAGACAGGATTTAAACTAAGGTAGTTGTAGCATAAATGAAAAAATGAACAAAATGAGATAATTTTGCAGATATAACTTGTAGGATTTACTAAAAACATGCAGAATGAAAAAGAGGGGATGGTTCCGGCTGGCTTTCAGGCTTGAGGAACTGAATATATGGTGAATATTGATTAACAAAGGACACAGACACCCACACGAAACACACAATTCCATAGTTTTAAGACAGATTAAGTGATGAATTGAAACCCATTGACTCCCCAGTTAGAGATCACACATAGTTTGTACACCACTTTCTTGTTTGAGACCTAGGAAATCTTCCTCCTTGAGCTTCACTGCTGGCGGCTGCTCTTCTCATTACCCTAGGTGAGGTGTAGACATTCTCAAGAACAGCTGGAGCAGGTACTGCTCTGTGTTCAACAGACTTAACAGATGTCAG